ATTCCTGTTGCTTGGACCTCTGCTTATTTTGTTGTCACTCAGCTCGTACTAACGTGTTTTAATATTGTAAGGTGTCTGGAATTCATCTTGGAAGTAATCTGGCCTATGAGTTTTATTTAAATATCAGATGCTCAAAAAGTTCACAGTAATTGGATCCCTAACATCCAGAAAGCGCATTTACATCAACTTTAGCATGCATTCCAACTTCTTACTGCTGTCACCAAAGGTGACGTATGGCTGTGCGAGGTGCTGAAATCCATGTTGGATTGTCCCTGTTATGGTTTCAACTTGTGACCAGTGAGCTCTCCCCTCCCATCTTCTACAGCCTCATCCTAAGCTCGAATTCGTTTAAACATCTTTCTGTCCTTCTGAAACTAGTGTGCGCTTCATCCACGTTCTGGTCTTTTCCTTACTACACTTGTTTTGATCTTCGAAGCCCATAAGGACAATTAGTGGTTCTCAGTGTCCCTTAGAGCGAGGTCTTCATCATGCCAGTCTTCGCAGGAACGTGTGACAGAATGCGTCCCCTGCTTTAGGAAACGCGGTTTCGAGTGCAGTCCCGATGCCCTGAGGTTCGGTTCAGTCACAGAAGTCGGGCAGAACCTCAGGACGGAGCTTTCAGTGCGTAAATCGGCAAGGCAGATAAAGGGCTCTCGTCGGACTGGGCATTTCTACGTTCAGATGATCTGACAGCGATTTCTTAAGGATTCTTCTCAAGGAGTTGGAAAAGCGGCAGGTGTTTGACACCGCACGGCCCGGCCAGGTCCCGCAGGCCTCTCGATCCCGCATGGGGGGAGGTGGTGTGTTTCACTCGGCAGCTTCCCGCCCAGCCCCAGGCGGAGGCCTGAGTCTTGGGACCAGGCCTGGCGACTCCGTGTGAGGAGCGACCCAGTGGACGGGAGCAGTAGAGCTTTCGTGCAGGTGAGTCTGCGCCCTGGGCAGGAGGCCAGGTCAGCGGCGCGTCCTGAAGGACGGGACTCGCAGCTCTGGGGTGGATTCGCCTTCACATGCCCCCGCTCCCGTTAGGCCGTTACATCTGAGGCCAGGCCAGTGTTCCTGAGGCACTTTCGATGTGTCACTTCCCTCCTCTCAGATCTTCAGGGGCCACCGGACCAGGTCTGTTCGAGGCCTTTACTTCCAATCTCATTTCCCACGAGCGCCAGCCGCAGCCGAGCTGGCCACGTCCTTCTCCTCAGCTGCTTTCCCAGCTGCCTCCACCTTCCTGTCCCTGTGGGCTCCGCCCCACGTCACTTAGGTGTGCGAGCTACGTCAAATGATTCTTCCTCCCCGAGCCTATGCTTCGCCCTCTACATGAGTGAGTGACCGAGCGCTCACGTGGGTCCACGTCATCCCTGTCGACTTCTGTCTTCCTGCGGCGCCGAACACCCCAGAGCGCTCATCGTTTGTACTCAGCACCCTTATGTCCCATCTTTAGTTGCGTTTTGCAGACATGTCTGCACGCAGAGAAAGGCCACTGGCAGCGCTCGCGTCTCTCCCCAGCATGTGGCTGGACAGGGGACGGGGGAATGTGTTCCACTTTGGACTTCCACCTGTGTCCAGAAGCCGGGCAGAGACGGGACTCGTGGAAGATGTCCCCTTACGCCCCTTGCTGGGAGAATGAACTCTGGGAAGGGGGCTCGTGTTTCCAGTGCCAGGGCCTCGGGTGGCCTCCGCCACCACCCTGTCACAGCGCCAGTCTCCGGGCATTCAGGCTGGCGATGGTCACGTCCCCTTTCACTGTGCATTTCAGGGCCCTGTTTGATTATGACCGGACTCGGGACAGCTGCCTGCCAAGCCAGGGGCTCAGCTTTTCCTATGGTGACATTCTGCATGTCATTAATGCCTCTGATGATGAGTGGTGGCAGGCAAGGCTGGTGACCCCACATGGAGAAAGCGAACAAATCGGCGTGATCCCCAGCAAGAAGAGGTGAGTTGTCAGCATCACAGGGAAGGCTCCCTCGGGCCGCCGGGGGCACCGGTGTCTCTGGCCTGTCCCGGAGCAGCTGTGCTTTGTGTCCCCTTTGGGTACAGAGGTCGTGCTCATGACCTTATGACTCCACGAGCCAGAAGGTGGCCACTGATAGGAATTCTTTCTGACCCCGAAACAGGGTGGAGAAGAAAGAGCGAGCTCGACTGAAAACCGTGAAGTTCCACGCCAGGACGGGGATGATCGAGTCGAACCGGGTACGTGGGGGTCCCCAGGGAAATCGGCCAAAACGTGGAGAGGAGCGAGAAGCTTGCGGTCCGTGTGCTGGATAAGAGCCTCTCTCTCGGGGCCCTGGGCTGTCCCATCAGAATACCGACCGCTTTTCCGAGAGCAGAGAAGGGTGCACTCAGACCCCGCTGGCTCTCGAAGGCGGACCGTCTGCAAGGCTGGCCGGCTCGGGGCACGTGAAGCCTCTTGTGGGTTTGTCCCTGGCTGCGGAGCCTGAAGGGCACCTGGCCTCGTCACGCAGCCGGGAAGGCCCGTCCCGGAGCTCTGCCAGCCCTGCAGACCGGGCGAGGCCCAGGCGCTCTTCCCGTTCACCCCTGTTCTTCTGTGAGCTTCGCAGGGCCAACGACTTCCGGCGCGGCAGACTCTGTGCTTATCAGTGGCACCTTAGGGCATGTGTCCAGGAGGCGACAGTGAGCTGTCTCCTGTAGGAAGTGCCAGTGCGTGCTGTGAGTCTGGGCTAGGTAGACACCTCTAACATCCCGCCAACATTTTCCTGTAAACATAATTTTCCTCTGACATCAGTTTTCATTTAATCTCATAGACTCCATTTGTGAAAGACGGTCTTTTATTTAGCGCACCATTGTCTCCATTTAGTTTGTCTTGCATGCTTTAAAAGCCATTGTTCTGTTTTTTTTTTTCTTCTGTCCTTCCCCCTCCATCTTCATGTTCTTTCACAGTCGATCAAAACGAAACGTAAAAAGAGTTTCCGCCTCTCTCGAAAGTTTCCATTTTACAAGAGCAAAGAAAACATGGCCCAGGAGAGCAGCATTCAGGAACGTAAGTAGCAGCAGGGCACACAGAGCAGCCGCCCACAGCTGCACCCTCGTCTTCATCCGCACCTCCCGCATGGGGACGCTGGGACAGAGTGTGAGTGTGTGTGTGTGCGCGCGCGCGCGTGTGCGCATCACTGCTTATTTGCAGAGTCAGGGTACGAACTGGTCTGCACAGAGAGACGCTGCGTCTTTTTGTCCAGCTCCTCCGAAAGGATGTCGGGGTCTCTGAGCTGCCACGGGGTGCAGGGCAGGCCTGCTGGGACAGCCCGGCCTTGGTGTCGTAGGCGCCAGGCTGAGCTCTGTGCTGGCGACCGGCACTTCTCGGCCACGGCGTCAGGTTTGGAAAATGGCTTTTCAAGAGAACCAGTGTTCTGGGGACTCGGTGTTGCTGTCCCAACTCCCTCCCTCCTGTCACGTTTTCTCTCCCTGACTTCACTCGTCTGTGTCAAGGGAAGCGCCTTTCCTTCGCTGCACGCCCGGCCTCGGGCCGGCTTCCCGGATGACACGCACGTGCATCCGCACACGGGACGTCTGGTGGCTCTAAGAGTCGCTGTCATCCCAGAGTGATTCCAGAGCCAGCTTTCAAAATAAAACCCTTCCTGCCTAATAGAACTGACACGGAAGGGGCTTAGTCAGCATTGTCCCAGTAGAGATTTACTGAGCCACGCGGAGCTAAATGAGCTGAAGCAGTGGCATCCTGAGAAAAACTTCCTGGGCTATTCCGCGGAAGTGAAGGGCCCTGACCCTGACCTTAAACACCAGGTCAGGCGGGTGGAGCGGTTCTCATGCGGCTCATGGTGAATTGTGAAGCCCTCCTCTCCTTCCCCACGAGGACGGGTCTTAGGGTCCTGAGCCGTTGGGGCAGCCTGCGGCTGGCTACTCCTGCTAGGCCAGCCTGGTTCACGGTCATGGTCCACGTAGGTCTTGGCCATCTGGGGTGGTGGCTACTTGGTACAGGGGCGCCCTCGTCCACACGGAGGCTCTGCTCACGAGCAGCAGGAGACGGCGTGAGGCAGGGCGAGAGCTCTGTGCAAGGCGAGCTCTCCCGCGGTCCGCAGCAGCAGGTCAGCCTCAAGGCCACGCCGGACTGCGGGGCGCTCTCCCGAAGAGCGTGGGCAGACTGAGTCGGCACCGGGGGCAAGCTCCCTGGGTGGGGGGTGACTCTGCCCGCCGCACGTAGGTGTTTCAGGGGAGTGTCGCGTTAAGGGGCGAAGCCGAGACCTGGCTGTAACTACGGATGTGGTCAAAGCACGTGCTGCACGCCTCGGACAGGGCCCGCGAGCCGGGCCCCGCCTCGGCCAGGCAGCAGCACATCGGGCGGCCGGCGGTCCCAGCGTGGCACGTGACCTGGGGCGTTCTTTCTATGGCGAAGCTGTTCGCATCACCGTACTTCTGTCACCGATGCTCACCTGCTCTGTGTTCTCCCTCCCCCTGTCTTTCTTCTCTATTTTCTCTCTGCCCCCACTTCTTTCCCTCCCTCCGTCCCTCTTTATCCTGGCTGTCTGTGAAATCAGGACTTCCCTGGGTTAAGTGACGATTATTATGGAGCAAAGAACCTGAGTAAGTCTGACTTGCACCCCAATGACTGTATTTCTGGCACGAGCGGAGATGCTGGGTCGGGGTGTAGGGCTGCGGGTGAGGGCGGAGGGTCACGGGGCCGGGCAGTGTTGGTGAGAAATCCGACGCCACAAGTGGCTATGAATGTCACACTTCTGTTCTTGATCCCTGGTGCCCCAGCTAATACAAGCCTGTCATTCATGTCTGTGTTTTCCTTTTGTACCTTGAAGTGGTGGGGGGCCATCTTGGCATCCCACCCTGTAAGTGAGGTGGGCACGAAGTCCTTCTCCCGAGTGACCAGTCAGGTCATCGCTAGGCCGTTGAGGTGAGGGGTGCCCGCTGGCTGGAGTCTTCTCCCAGGGGCAGAGCAGTAAAGGACCAGGCCTCAGAATTGGCCCTTTCAGTCCAACCGGGCGCAAGACGCCGTGAGGCTCTTTACCCACCGTGCATCTGGGCTCTGCCGGCAGCGTTTGCGGGGCAGGTGCATCTAGTGCGTTAGCTCAGGAAAAGCCTGGAGTGGGCGGTGAAGGGCCCTGGAGGACGGGGCGCGAGCGCGGCCGCTGTGGCAGGGGCGCGCACGCGCGGCCAGGCGGGCACATACTCTCCTCCGATAGGTGCCACAGGTAACGGGGCTCCCTTGGGGGCTCAGGAAGTAGCCACGGGTGCCAACTCACTAGTCCTTCCTGGGGGCCACAGCATATCACGGTCTGGAACAGTGTCATCTTGGCTGAAACGAACAGTGTCTCTCCATAGTCTGTCGTGTCCATGTTTCACCTTCATTCGCCTCGTCCCTCCTGCGAGTGTGGCCGCTCTGCCCATCTCAGATGCGGGCGGGCGGGTCGCAGCGCTCTGAGACGGGACGGCGGCCTCGTCCTCCAGCTGTTCTTCCGTGTCGTCTGTGTTTTGACGTGTCTGTCTGCCTTTGGGTGGGGGGGCACTCCCCTCACTGCTGAGGCCCCAGCGTCCTAGGTAGCGGTGGCTGGATGGCTGCCGGTCCCACCGAATGGTCAAAGCGTCAACCCCTGGTGGCCGCGTAGCCTCTTCGCTTGGCGCGGCACACAGTTCTGTAGTTCAGGGCCTGTCTGGGGAGGGAATTCAAGAGCAGCCCGATCCCTGGACTTCTCTCTGCTACTGTCACCTCTCCTTTCCTCCTGGTGGCCTCGGGAGGTACATTCTGAGGGAGTTGTCGACCGCCTTCCAGGTCAGTTCTTTGGATCCAGACAGAGGCTCCTGCCACAGAGCGGAGGGGCGGGGCAGGCCGACAGGGCGCTGGGGACGAGCACGAGGTCGCCAGGGGTCAGGAATGGAGCTGTGCCTCCCCCTTGGTAGCTGGATGTGGCAGGTCTCCCGCGGCCTGACTTGGTTGGCAGCTCAGTGTCTCGCTCCTGGAGCATTTGAGTTTTGTGCCATGTGTGACCTCTCAGTGGTGTGTTCTGAATCAGAGTCTCTTTCTTGTTGGCTTGCAGAGGGAGTGACATCCAACACCAGTGACAGCGAAAGCAGTTCCAGTAAGTGTGTGTCATTCTCCCCCATGTCATGTAGCTCCACCATGTGTCCCCGCCATCCTCATTCCAGCGTCGCACGGCTACCATCCTGTTCAGAGGCTACTGCTTCTTTTAGCCATGTACACTTGGAGATCCTGGAGATGCTGTGGCCATATTGTCCTGTGTGGTGGGGATTAGGCTGTGGATCACAGGAGAGTAGAGGTCCTGCAGGCCTGCTGGGACCCGGCTTAAAAGCAGCCCTGGGGCCCTGGGAGGGGGAGCCCCCAGCAAGGAGGTCCCTGGTGGGGGCGCGACAGGCGGCGGGGGCCGCCACTTTGACAGGTTTGCCAAAGGGGCAAAAGGAAAACGGCTCCTGGGTGAAGGCTTGTTGTCCTGGCCTTTTCACGGTAACTGCCCGGCGGTCTTGGCCTCAGGGGCGGCCTGCGAGCGAGCAGGCCTCCGGGGCCTGGTGCAAACACTGCACTGCTGCCGGCCCCTTTGGGACCTCCAGGCACCCAGCTACGAAGCGGCTCGGTGACTGTTTCAGGAAAGGCTCACCCTTGCAAGGGCACTGAGGACCTTAGTCCAGCCTGGTGCCCCTTTTCTGCATGCTTCTTCCAGTGAAGGGGAGAGTTAGGCTGCAGCTCTGGGGACACGCACGGGTGACCTGATTCCTGTGTCTGTACGCGGAGGGCCACAGCTGGTGTGACTCTTACAAGCACAGATCCTGAGAAATCGGGGTGCTCTTGGGTGGGGGCTTCATGTTTTCTGGGCCACACCTCTTTGCTCAGCTGTCTTTCCCTGAACGAGACGGCTCAGGCTCCCGCTCCTGTCCCAGGGGCGGGAAGGGCCACCTGCGCTTTCTTGCCCATGGGAGGCAGGCGTAAGCAGGCGCCACTGGACAGGCTGTCTTCGGGCAGAGGTCAGGTGAAGTGGGTGTTGGAGGGACACGAGGACACCGGGAGGCACATTAGAAAGTGCTAACGCGTCTCCTTTTTTGTTGCAGAAGGACAAGAGGATGCTATTTTGTCCTATGAGCCAGTGACTCGACAGGAAAGTAAGCCCTTCTCTGAAAGTCTTGCCTCCCGGCCAGTCTCGCGGTCCTGGGGCCCAACAGCGGCACGCTCTGGTGGCAGAGGAGGGAGCGAGGGGGGCCTTCTACAGGCAAGGGGTCCTGTGCCCACTGTCAGGGCGCCTTACGAAGGCTGACAGACGTCAATTTCAGTGGGTGTGGCCGGCGCTACAAAGGGGGTCCTGGTCACTTCCCTTTGTTGACTGCTCTGAAAGCACCCAGCTCAGCTGCGGGAGCCTACGCACCAATACCCCTGGATCCGTGGCAGGGGGAGAAGCCTGAGTTCAGACTCGCCTCGGCCTTCGATACTGATGGCCTTGTGCTTAAAAGCCTGCAACTGGCTGTGGCCGCCGGACCGGGCCTCGGGGTTTACACAGAGCAGCAGGCACAACGGGCGGCCGGGGGGCCTGGCTCACACACCGCACGCTCTCTCCGCAGTTCACTACGCCAGGCCCGTGATCATCCTGGGCCCCATGAAGGACAGAGTCAACGACGACCTGATCTCAGAGTTCCCGCATAAATTTGGATCCTGTGTGCCACGTAAGCGCCCAGGAGGGCTTCAGACGTGGGGGGTGGGTGTCCCGGGACTCGCTGCTGTGCTGTTTCATGGAGCGTCTGGGGCCAGGATCTGGGGTTCCCTGGAAGAGGGCGCATCTGATACCCCAGAAGAGATCGGCCGGCACTAGGTTCCCTAGAGCTGGTAGGCTTGGGAGGGCCGAGACATCGGAGGTGCGCGCTCGCTCCCTTGGGGAGACGTGTGAGTGCCGGGGGCCAGGAATGATCGCACAGCTGGGGGGCCCGGCCCAAAGGGTGTCGGCATGGCCCACCAGACAGCTCGTGGGCCTCCGTGGCTCCTGTGCCACCTGTGGCACCCTCTACCGCGCCTCGGCCCAGGAAACCCCACCTTTGTTCCAGTTTAAGCGAAAGCAGAGAGCCACCTGCGTGTGAGGCCTGGCGCGTAGAGGAGAGCTGGGCCTCGGCCCCGGGTGACAGAGGAACGAGTCAGCCCCTTGGGCCGGGGCTACACAGTGTTCCCTTTCTTCCTCCAGACACGACTCGGCCCCGGCGTGATAACGAGGTGGATGGCCAAGACTACCACTTTGTGGTGTCCCGAGAGCAAATGGAGAAGGACATCCAGGACAACAAGTTCATCGAGGCGGGCCAGTTCAACGACAATCTCTACGGGACCAGCATTCAGTCCGTGCGGGCAGTTGCAGAGAGGGTGAGGACAACAGATGGCCCCACGGGATGCATAACACGACGAAGTTCGCTGGGGTCCTCAGCCGCCCAGCGCAGAGACCACCAAGGGGCACGGCTGACCAAAGCCCTGCGTGTCCCCAGCCTCCGTTCGGAGGTGTCTGCCGGTCTCCTCCACGCCCCTCACCGCAGAGCGTCCCCCACCCAAACAGGGACCGCTCCGCAGACCCAGCCGTTCCCGGGTGGGAGGAGCGAAGCGTGGAGCCTGGGTGCCTCGGGGTGGTCTTCTCGGCCTCTCAGAGCAGGCCCCGGTCTCCCCTGGGCGGGTGTGCGTGTCGCCCAGGGTAAGTGTCTGGGGTCGGGCAGGCAGGGGCCGGGCCGGCTGACGCGCGTGTGCTTTTCCAGGGCAAGCACTGCATCCTGGATGTCTCTGGCAACGCCATCAAGCGGCTGCAGCAGGCACAGCTGTACCCCATCGCCGTTTTCATCAAGCCCAAGTCCATCGAGGCGCTCATGTGAGTACCTGCCGAGACTCGCACCCTGCTGCCTTGGGGAGGGCCCTGGAGAGGAAGCCGAACACCAGGGGATCGGCTGCACAGGTGTCCGCCCCAGCGGAAGCTCAAAGGGATGTCTGCGCCCTGGTGCTGTCGCCGAGAGCGCCTGATTGGAGCACCCGCGTGTGTACTCCCGGGTTGGGCCATGGGCCACTCTCAGAGGGCAGCCGGGCAGGTTCTCGGGGAGCCTGGAACAATCGATGTGATCAGAACGGGGATCCAGTTCGGTACCGCGCTCCTCCTGTGTTTGGCAGGGAAATGAACCGACGGCAGACGTACGAGCAAGCAAATAAGATCTACGACAAAGCCGTGAAGCTGGAGCAGGAGTTCGGGGAGTACTTCACAGGTAAGAATCCCCAACACCTTCTGGAAGGCTCTCGGCCACGCCCAATCACTGTGCCCAGAGTGTCTGGGTGCTTTTGAGCTTGGCCTTTACAAAGCAGTCGGGTTGCCGGCCGCCGGCCAGCGCGGTGCTGCCTCGGGTCCTTGACTCCTTCTGTCTTGTCCACCCCCCACCCCGAGTGCGGGCTCCCTGTGTCGCTTTGCTGCCCTCCTCACCTCCCCCCGAGATCTGGTCCTTGGTCTTGGATGTTTTAGGGGCAGAATAAATGTTTGTCGGTGCTGCCGCTTCCTTGGTGTGGGTCAGGTTGTCTGTCAGCGTGCGCGCGTGTGCACAGACGGTCACCTGCTTTAGGTCAGTCCCCAGCAGCATGGGAAGGTGTCCGTGCCTTCTAAAGTGCAGTGACATACCTGTGCAGCTTGGTGCGGGGTGACTCTAGCTGCTGGTTCCGCTAGGTTAAGCGGGACACGCTCCGTGCTGCACCTCGCCCCCGGGGTTCTGGAGCTCCCTTCCCTGTCAGCATCCGTGTCCTTGTTTGCCGGGCTGACCTCGAGCAGATGTGACGGCCCCAGGAGCACTGCCTCCTGCCAGAAACTGGCTCTCAGAACCTTCTCTGCCAGCTGCCGGAGAGCGACACGAACTGCGCGTCCTCGCATCTGGTGGCGCTCAGGAAACAGTTTTTTTTTTAAATGCCTACAGCACCCGGTCTTCCTAGGTGGTCTCCCATCCAAGTACTAACCAGGCCCGACCCTGCTTAGCTTCCGAGATCAGACGGGATCGGGCGCGTTCAGGGTGACGTGGCCGTAGACAGGAGGCAGGTTTGAACAACACATTTTCCTGTTCGCTGTGACTGAGTTTCAGCGTCTCAGAAGCCGACCTCGAGCCCTGCCCTGGGCTCGCGGACAGCCACCTAGTTTCGCTGGCCCGGGGGACCGTTGGGGTTTTGGGGTGCTCTGGGCCACAGTAATGAGTCTGTCTCCCTCTCACTTTAGCCATTGTACAGGGTGACTCACTGGAGGAGATTTATAACAAAATCAAACAAATCATCGAGGACCAGTCCGGGCACTACATCTGGGTCCCGTCCCCCGAGAAACTCTGAGGAGCCCCTGCAGGCTTTCTCTTGCGAACAGAAGAAATCAAGCCCCTCCTCCCTCCCTCGTCATTCCTGTCCCCACGGGGAGAACAAATGACTACTGTTCTTGTCCCCTTTTTTAGATATGTCAAAAAAATTGAGTTTTCTAGTCCTGTTCTGTTTTTTTAAATTTTCGTTCTGTTTGAGTTTATTTTGGGGGATGATGCCATCTCACTCATCATGTGACTGTGCCCATTCCTGCATGGCCCTTTCCCGAGCACTAGCACAGGTGCAAGTCCATCAGAGTCATTGTCTTCATAACAATCAAGCAGAAGCGCAGCGAAGCGAAGCGAAGCGGAGGACTGATGGGAATTCACTCTGGACCGCGGCGCGGCTCGCGGAGCGAGCCCAGCGCACGCGACGAGATGCTCCCGGCATTTCTACCTACCTGTCCTGTGTCATGCAGCTCGGAACGGTACAACGTCACGGTGACAGAAAGTATCTTATTTATACATAGATATATATATGTAATTTATATAAA